TTGATTCAAATAACAGATATTTTTCCTCCATTTTTAAGCGTCTGCTTCACAGTATTCACTATAAACACTTTCCACATGTCTAATAGTAATAAAGGATGAGAAAACTTTAAAAGAACAGGACTGACTAGTAAAGAATTAAGCAAGGGTGGGTGAGAAAGACTTTTCCCCCACCCCCAGATCCAGCTCCCGTCCCCCTGATGTAATCCCAAGAACACCAACAGTGACATGCTTTCTCTAAATTAATATACAAGTCTTGTATCAAAATGATTTTCCTGATTCCCAACGACTGCAGCCATTGCACGCTCTTTTAAGATACTAAGAGAAAGTGAAAATCCGCCTAGGAAAATTCTTAGGTCATTAATTAAATCCAGTGTCATCATTTCCAGAAAATCCCTGAACCAGAGACTCCAGGGGGTTTCCGGCTCAAAATTAGCACATGAATTGGTTTGTGTGGTAGTCTTATTAGAGGGAGTGCTAAAAAGGAGGATTTCCTCTCACGGCACTATGCTGTGGCTTTCCCTCATGGCACATCAACACTTACTAAAGTATTCACAAACAGGTTTCTGGGATCCTATGCAAAAGAACTGTCTATTTTCTCTCATGCTGTGTTATGCAAATTAACATGTTTCAGTCTACTGACACCAGCATACTGCCCGTGTCATCTTCTGGGGATATATAAAGATTTTCTACACCATAATTTTTAAGTGTTGTTAATTCATTCATTAAATGAATGTAGTAGTGGCAAGCATGTATCCAGATGGCTGAAATAACAAAAGGTAAGCACATCATCTAAGTTTGTTTTCTTAGCTGTGACAGTGAGATGCAGCTAAGACTGTGTCTGTTGAATGAGCTTCAACAGTGAATGCGCTAGTATGTGGTGTGCTGGTTGATCCAGAAATTTTAATTTCAGGCCTCTTAGGAAAAAACAAACAAACAAAAACTCATCCCTGTGAATAAATTAGAAAAAGAAACCCAGGAAAACCAACTCTATTACTCTGTAATTGATTAACTATAATTTTTTAGGCATTATCTGCTCCCCGGGGTCTGAGATACAAAAATCAAATTCAGCACATCTACCTAGTTTAAAGTAACAACATAATCACCTGTATGTCCCTCATTTAGGGATGGTGATCATGCAAACTTGGGAGGCTTAAATGACAAGCTGAATATTAGATTAAAGGCAATGGAGCAAATCAAAGAAAACTACAGACTATAAATAGGTGCCCTTTCATTTCAAAGAGTCCCAGTTGCTACCTACTTTATTACGGTATAAAGGTCTTCATTCAGGCTGCAAGCTTTCAGAAGAGCAGATGGTGTCCTGTCTGGTACAGGGGTCACAGCTTAAAAATCTGAAAGACGGGTCTTGAATAAACACCATCGTTTGAGTTTGATTATAATTTCAAATCTGATTAAATGTTGTAACCAAAACCTGTTCTTTTGATCTGTTCATCTACCGCGGCCAATCTTAGTTGAGAAAAATCTGAAGCACTCAAAAGAAACAAAAATCTGATGGGCATATTTATGACAAGAATAGATAAGAGGCACGTTGTTGACATAAAGAGCAAAAGAATTCAGCAGGGGTTGCTACAAACACAAACAGCTGGTCCTTGGTGTCAAACAAATCCCACCCCCACCCAAAACCAAACTGAAGGAGGTGGGATAACACTGAAACTGCAATCAGTTGGCCACAGAAATCCCTTTTGTCATCAGCATTTAACACATTTCAGGACTTTAAAGCAGTCTGGCTCATACTCACCTCACAGAAAGAAGATCTTGCTCGTTGCCTCTCATCGTCTTCACAAGAAGGAACCCACCGTGATGCCATCATTTAGCTTCAGTTAAAATGCTGATGTCTGTAAACCACCACATGAAAAATGTAGCTCCACCAGGATGTTAAAAAAAAATGCTCCAATCCGATTCACACCTCCATACTTGCTGGATTTCTTAATCCATCTGTTTGAGAGATATGAGATGACATATGTTTTTAGTGCATTAAAAAAAAAATGAATTCAAAGGCAGATTTAGGAATCAGCTGCACAGCGATTACATCTCACACTACTCCAAGAGTCTGTACAAACAACATGAATGAATACCTTGGTTGTTTATAATAGCAGACCACTCGTGATTAATTCTAGACAATCAGCATTATGCAACAGGGTCCTAACTAAACGCTACTTCTAAATGCTGTTTTTGTGTCTCATCCTTGGAGAGCTTCACACTCAGGTGCTTGAAAACAGGCTGATTCAGGGTAATACTATGTGACGGCACATCATAAAAAGTTAGAACAAACGGAATTTGATAGTCAACTGTAATAATAATTCATTTTAACTAACTTAATGAAGTCTAAAAATGTTGTAGTAGCCAACACCAGGACTATAACCAGCGTAAAGCACAACAACGTGGAGAGCCAGCGGTGCATTAACTGAATAGCCAGCAACAAGTGGACTGGGGACTGTCGGGAGGCTGGGCGAAATATGTCCGTCGCATTCAAAATTGAGACACGAAACCCCACAGAACCTATTTCTTAAACAATAAAAACACACGAGCTTTATTTGCCGTTTGTTTCACGACAAAGCCGACGTTTGTGCTTTTTAGAGGATGGATTTCAATCACTTGATTGAAATCGATGTTTAAATGAGACACGAAGGGAGCATGCCGAGCTGTTGTTCCCGAGCGCTCAACAAAAGAAGCTTTTCCCTTTGTTACTTTACATAAAATACCACAATAAAAGCGGTCCAAACGTCCACACGAGGCACTGCTGCCCCTTTTGCGTGTTTATGGAAGCTCCCTGTAAAACTAGCAAAGTGGGCAAAAGCGACAACCAAGCAAACTGCGGCAACAGGCTGCTAACAGTTAGCCTCCATGCTAACGGTTGGAGTTAAAACAAAGTTACCTGTGCAGTTGAGAAGCGTCATTACAGGCTGTCAACGACGGCGATGCTTATCCATAAAAAGAAAAAAGAAAAAGTACAAACATATCGTGTATGGTCCAGTGTGGAGGGCGTTGTCATAATTTAATAGAGACTGAGTACAAACGACTTTCCGGTGATTAATCCAAACCTACTCAGTGGAGGCGCATGGTGCAGTTTGGAATTTTTTTTTTTTGCCTCCACTGTTCCCGACTCTCTAGGAGTCCACCTTCGGTCAACAGGACACTATCAGCCAATCAGGAGCGGGGTTGTATTTGACCGGGCCAATGAGGCGCGAGTTTACAATAAGCTTGTATCTGCGCTTGTAAACGGTGGCGTTTTTTTAACCGTTCCCGTGAACTATCAGAGCAGTATTCCCGGGAGAACAGGGGAGAAGATGAAAAGATGCATCGTGTAACAAATCCGCAATTCAAGCCGTTCAAAAACTCATCGTGCTTTTGGTTTCGTACGCACAGCAAGGGTGAACGAGGAGTCACATGCCCCGGTTCAAAGTGAGGTCGAGCTGAGCTAGTAATGTGGAGGGCAGTGGTGATTTCACACATACCACACAGCATAAAATCTTTTCTTTCATCTAATCCACGAAGCACATAGTTAACAATAAATGGACACTCCTTCGCTGCACTTTAGCTGCAGACTGAAATAAGTGCTCGGATTCTCAGGCCCCTGACAAATGCCCCTTTTATGCCTCTCCAACATAAGGAGCCACCTGTTCCTGGGACTGGCAGCTTTTGTTACAGAGGTCAGTTAGGGAGGAGAATTTTACAAAGCTGTCCTGTCCAGCCGGTTCTACTTTCAGTGGGTCCAAGTGGGATATATCAGCTCTGAAAAAAACTCCGATATAAAACCTAAATACTTAGCATTATATCTTCAAGCAGCTGTTTTTCTTAGATTTATGGTGTACATATTTCTCTTACACAGTACCAGTATTGTACTGTTATTAACTTCATTTTAATTTTGTTTTTTAAATAACTATATTGTTTATTATTGTGAATTGTAAATGTTGGTTGTTGTTTTTATTATTATTTTTAGTTTCCGTTTGTATGACTTTGTAATTCTGGAGAAATCACTCATTTCAGCCTCCATTAAAGTCAGCTGCACTAAAGCCTGTAGTTATTTAGATCCAAAAACATTTTTATTACAATGTGATGTGTAATGCACATGTAGCACCCATGCACCCATAGTGCTGAAATTGCACTAATTTTTTCAGACATGTAATGCAGATATAAACACATATTTATGTCACACACATTTATATTAAAAGGTTTTTGTGCATTTGTTTAGCTGGACTACACAGCTCACTTGAGATTATATTGGACTGAATGTGACCTGTTAATTAAAGGTACTTTGACACCCCCGCTTTAAAATATTACAACTATATTGAAGTTTGGTCCATAGTAAACTGAGAAATGCTATTGACATCCAATTGTAACATATTATACATGAACTTTTTCTGTAATTGTGAATATTTACAGTGGTGCATTGCTGCTTTTGCTTCTGAAAAAGATCAGAGTACTTCTTCCACTACTGGTAAAAGTACTGACTACAAATTTAGGGGTTGCAATAATGTAATTCAGTTGCAGCTCTTACTTTATCACTGTTGGAGGTCTGGTGAGTCAAAAAGGCAAAGTCTATTCACTGTCTCAAGAGATGGTTTTCTTTATAGCACGTTGTGCTCAGTGCTTAAGCAAAGGGAGTCACATGTCAAGTGCATACAAAGAGCACAGCAGCTCAGCACAACGAGCTCTCTTTTGTTCATTTTGTAAGTTCACTTACAGTTAAAACCCCCTTTTTAAAACAAAACAATGGCAACCTGATGTTTCAGGATGCTTTTGGTTTAAAGCTTTGCTACTTCAGGGCCTATATAGGTGCCAGTTTTCCATAAAAGTAAGAGAAGCTCAACACCATTAAAAAGACGTATGAAAAAAAGAAAAAGACTCCAAGCCCCTTTTGCATATCATCAGCCTAAGAAACATATTACACAAGGTCTTCTTTATATTCATAGCTCAGCCAAGGAACCATTGTAAATGGCAATTAGTACTAAAAACATTCATTCATAAAATCACGTGGGAACATTAATAGTAGAATGCAGAAATCTTAAAAAAAACATTTTATTGTATGTTAGAACATAAACTGATACAGAGAAATGACAAAAGTACAGCAAGTGAAAAAACATGCAAACGCACACACAAAGGAGGTAGTAATGGCACTTAGTGTTGACAAGACTTGAACTGTTTCTCCCTTGTGTGTTAAAAGTGACGGAAAATCAGATGAAACTTTAAAAAGGCATCGCACAGGTGGAGAACGAATTTAAAAAAAACAACAACTTCCTTTCATTTTAGGTTTTGTTGGTATTCCTCACATGCAGTGGTTATTGAATGCTTTACATTTCATAAAAGAAGCAGTACACCTGGGATGATTGGATGCTTTAGATATAGAGTTAGAACAGCATTCCCTCCACTTAACACTACACGTTTTAAACCTGAATCACCTGCGTCAAAGCAACAAAGCTCCAACTTATCCTCAAGCATGCGCTTTTTGTGTTCAAATCTCCAGTTAAATGTTGCAGTGTGTGTTGTTAAAACGTTAACATGTTTGGAACCAGGAATGTTATAACAACGCAGGCATGATTGGGATCAGATGTCACCATAGCAGCTGTAAGTCAATGGCATCTCACAGGAAGTGTCTGGGCTGGCCGTCCGATGACATCTGCTCGACAGTCGCCTCTATCGCCGGCCCTCTCTTTAAATCTTATATTTCATCTTCCCGGTGTCGCTGATCACGCAAATGTGCTAAAAGAAGCACCAAAGCACAGGTCTTTATTGTGTTACTGGATTCCCAATACAGTCGTCAAAAAAAAGAAGAAGAAAGAAAGAAGCCAGACACTGACTTACACTGAGATCTCTAAAATACTCATTGTAGTCTAAAGCATATCCAACCACAAAATGATTGGGTATCTCAAAGCCGACATCTGAAAGCACAAAACGACAAAGGCAAATATTTCCAATAGTTTGGGACTCGGCAAATGCAACAATTTTTTTAAGTGTGAATGACTCACTGAGCCATAAAAGGGTTGGTCAGGTACGTACAGTCAGGAACACATGCTGAGCTATGCGGCACTCTCTTCACCAGCAATCTGAGGGAAACAAAAGCACACATTATTTACAACAGCCGACTCAAACCGTCTCAGGAGACAGCGTCACTTCAAAAAAAACTGCGGTACCTGAAATCTGCATCACAATGTTAGTCTTTGCCTCTCTGTGTGTCTGTGTGTGTGTCTCGACTGAAAGGGGGAAACAGTGATTCGCAAAGCAGGAAATTGAGCTGGTTTTGTTTGGCGGCTTTACCCTGCTACTTTGATCATTTTGGGCCCGAAGGCTTCGACGTGCTTCAGGAGAGTCTTCATCGTCTTTCCGGTGCCTACAATGCCCTGTGAGGGTGGGGGTGGAAGATGTAGAAACTGGACTGAGAAAGTAATAACATGGCAGTGAGGAAAAAAAAAGAACAAAAACTCAATTCTTCTTTCTCTGAACTAGAAGTGATACAGAAACTAAGTGCAGTCAGTGTCACACTGTACTCAAATTACGCAACTGTTTACAAGCATTCACTAGGAATTACTTGAATTCACTCAAAAGAGGAATTTAAACACAAACATGTGATATTCAATAAAAAAAAAAAAAACGTCATCTGACCTCTTGCTCTAGGATGTAGGCAAACGCTGAGGCGAACCAAAGCCACAACAGTACGCTCGATCATGTCAGTGTGTGTGACTGTCCTCACACATTTTTCAGCTGTCACTGAATATGAGCCAGAACAGGCTAACAGCCTTAGCCTAATTATAACACTGCAGGAATTTAAGATTTTAAAACCAATTTTACTTATTTTTAAATGCACTTTGCTTGTTTCATTCTCTCATTTCATTTAAGTTAAATGACCCATATTTAAATTCCTTACACAAAATAGCTATTATGATGTAGTATGATCTGTTTTCTGTTAAGTCAGCTCAAGAGCCTCTCACTACCACAGTGAATGCTTTATAAATACTTTATTATCACAGTCCTGGTAAAAGTGGGGTTTCTGTACAGAGGTCAGTCACTACATTGGCTGCACTTGCCAATAAATCCTGTGCTCAAAATGTTGGTATTACTTTTGACAGGTGTTTGAGTTTCGAATCTCATGTCTCTAAGCTCATCCAGTCATCTAAGAAATATCGCTAAAATCCTTTGCTGTGAGCCCCGAACTACACACTTGCTTCCCTCCACTGGCTCCCAGTGAAATTCAGACCACACTGCAGATTTTTATCAATCACAAAGCCCGGTGGCCTGCTGAGGTGTTATATCACCTGATCTCTGATCACCTGATCCGGGTCTTTTAACTGCTCCACGCAGGGGCGCCTCCAGAATTTTTTCATAGGGCACAAAAAACAGAACTTCCAGTTTTATTATGCTGTTGTCAAACACAGGTTGCTTGAAAAATATGGCAAAAAAGAGAGGAAGAAAATATATATACGCTTAGTTAATTTCCTGATATTAAAGTTGTTATCACTGAAAATCGGTACTTGTGTGTATTTGTAGGTACTGTTTGTTGGGATATATACACTTCTTTAAAGTATTCTCCTATCTCTCTCGTATCTAGTGACTTTTTGTAACCTTGTGTGTTTCAGTGCTTTAGTATTAAAGTCATTACTATCTATCAGTGCTTGTGTTTTACCCCTTGTAAATACCATGGAGCGATGACTGCCATTTTACAATACTGATAGCAAAAAGGGTTTTTTACTGACCAACCCACCACACAAGTCAAAACTAAGACAAGGTTGTTATGCAATTGCATAACAAGTACACAGCGGTATCTATGTCTTATAAATATGGAAAATTCTGCCTGTGGAAATCCTGTCGGCTGAGTCATCGACCTCCTCAGAGCCTTTCCTGATTTTGACTTTTTATTTCCTTTTAACTCTGTTACTTCCTGTACAATGTGACGCACCTGATGTAATGTATTGGTTTTTGTGAGACGCTAAGTCTTTCCATCTTGCTTTATCCCGATGACGTTGACACACAAAGATTTTAATATTACTTAAAGCTGAAGCGGCCACAGATTGCGAGTTCCCTGTCACACACAGTTGTACACTGACTAAAGGGAGCTGTTTCAAAATGTTTACTCCTACAATCTTTTTACAGTAAGTACTTATCATGAATGCCCACGATGATGACTGCAGGCCTACATTTCCTTTTTATTTTTTTGCAGTGCACCTATTCCAGTATGTAGGGCAAGGCAAGATTTTCAATGATGTTAGTTAAAAACACACACACACACACACAAAGCAATAAATCTATTTGGTTTCTCAAATATGGGTCAGGCAATTAAAAAGTGTCCTCATGTTGAATTCAGGACCTTCAAGAAGAAGATAAAAACTTTAAATGAGTTTTCTTGACCTGGAAAACATCATCAACAACAACAACAACAACAACAACAAGGAACACAATAAGGTCCATTTGGTGAACATGGGGGAAAGCAGAGTAGCAAAAACATGGCTGACTCACCTCCACAACCAGAACATTCTTATGGAGCGAGCATGTCGGGGAGAAAAGAGAGGGCAGGAACAAACAATTACTCTTGATTGAAAACAGATAATCTGCTCCACACTTACTCCAAGACTAACACTCACACGTTTTAAAAAAAAAAAAGACAAAAGCCATTTAGAGGTAATTTAAGAAGCAATAAATTATAAACAGAGAAATACACTTTGTTGAGTTCTGAAGTGCAACACAAAACCAACTGACGAATATTTTTTCAGGAAATGATCAGGCTGCAGCTGAAATAAAAGCAGAAGTACTGAAATATGGCCAATATCAGCTAAACCAACCACATTTTTTCATACACTACATCCGCAAGACTCTTTGCATTTATGATATCAGTGATTCAGCTAAACGAATGATCCTAATCCAGATTGGAAAGCTACGTTCCTGCAGTGCTGCCCTGAATGTCGCACAGAAATAGCTGAAATTCTGCGAATGTCTGTCTAATAAACTGAAGACGACTGGGCAGTGTCTTTATTAAGAGCCGCTGTCTGGGCTTCGCTTCAACTTAGCTAGGACACGATGAAAAGTGAAACTCTCTAACTGCCAGAGTTTACTCCACTTTTTTAAACAAAGGGTTCATCCGAGGGTGCAGTCGTGCTTTGTTTAGGACTCATTATTCATACAGATTTATTTAGAGCACACTAAACCCTGGAGAAATGCAAAAGCAATGAGCTATACAAGATATGTAAAGCTCACTGTCTGAAAACTACATTTCAGGGAGGCCAAAAAGCAAATGAACAGTAATGTGTACACTGTTAAACAATTAGGTAACCTCTTCCTGGAAAGCATCACCTCATTCTGTTAGGACCTGGGACAAAAATTAGCAGCACGTCACAGTGAGCTCAGGGATTTCACAAGCACACTAAACATTCTGTGAGGAAAGCAGTGAGTCAAGCCTACTACCTCATATCCTATTCAAGTTTTAGGCACCTGGCTACTGTGTGCATGTACTGCTGAGGTATGCGTATGACTGTGAATGTTCATATCAGCTGACTTTAATTATCTAAAAATACCACTGCTGACTTGTAACTCCCATAGTAATGGTTAATGATTCATCCCTCTGTATGCTTACATAGATATGTGCACGTGTGTGTGTGTGTGTGTGAGTGGGAGTTAAAGCTGCTTACTTGGCAAAAAGGTTGTACACAGATCCTTTTATAAGAAATAAATGGGTATGAACAGCAGAGCTCACATAATTGTGAGATGGTTCAAATCTCTGGTGAAAATTGGAATTTAGGCCGATTTTATTTATTTATTTTTTTCTAATAAACCAGATTTAGTAAGCAGAAATGTGGTTTGAATGCTCTGTTATGCCAAACACATTTACTTTATGCTAAGAGGAGTGCTGTGTGCTCTCTATAGGCTCATCTTGTCTGTCTTTTTATTTTCTTTCTTTCTTTATTTAATTGTGTAATTTAGGCCACTTTCCCTGCTGAATAGTCTTTGAACCCTTTAGGACTTTCCAGATTGAATATAAGCACACAAATATGATCAGAGATTTTCTCATTAGTTTTTATTTCAATTTTTTGTTTTGAATTCTGCTTATTTTCTGTTAGTTTCTTGTTTCAGTTTAGTTTTTATTATATAAAATGTTTAGTTTTACTTTAGTCTGAATTAGTTTCAGTCTTTGTATTTACCATTGTAAGGCGGGCACATGTCCAAGGCAAGATTTGGGCAAATCAGCAGAGGTATTACAATAAAAACACAAAACCATTTGAAAACAGTTGACTCACAGTCTCATGGACATCTAAAGACATCCATCAAAGCCTCATCAAGCATGTTGTAACTACATTTTTACCAAACTAAAACTAAGGGTATTTCCTCTATACTTTTAATTTTATTTCAGTTAGTTTTCAAAGTTCACAATATTGTTTCAGATAGTTTTAATATTTTTTTAATTTGTTGCTTTTATTTTTGTTTTAGTTGAATAAAATGTTTTCGTTTTTAGTTTGGTTTAATTTCACTTTAATATTACCTCTACTGGTCACTCAGCACTATAAATGATCTGCTGCCATCACAGAACCCCATCATGCTGTAACCAGTGCTGATTGATTATTCTTTCTAAATCAAACTAGTTACATGTCATGTAATCAGGGCCTTGTTAGATTGAGTCCTTCCTAACCTGCTGTAAACAAACAAATAAAATGTTTTCTTTGTCATTTTTTTCCGAGAGACAAAAAAATACAATTATGTATATATGTATTTTACCAGAAAACAGGATGAAAGCATCTAAAAGTTTTGCTTTTCTTATTTTCAATCCTGGAAATGATTTTACAACTCTTTATAATAAGGTGACTGTCATCACCACAAGTCTGCACTGTTTCACTGAGACCCTTTGTTAGGTGGCATGCACTATCAAAGGCTGGCAACAGCCTGCACACACACTCGAGTTCTGTGAGCTACCATCTCTGATTACAGGATAACACGACGAGCCGTAGAAGAGGGACTGTGTTAAGTAAATCTGTCATCCCCTTGATCTACCGAGGTACGCACTCAGTAGGGCCTCCAATTTACACCGTACATTTTGCTTCACTTGAGATAAAATGGAATAAACCTTTCGTCATAGCTGGCATGTGATCAGCGCTAGGTGTGTCAGAAACTGCCATCTTTGATCTCATTCACTGAAGTGAGGCACACAGCACATTAGAGGGAAGGGTGCCCTCTTGAGGCTGCTGTCTATCAACAATCACCATCTCCATGCTACCTATTTTTTACAAAAGCACGGCCCATCATAAGGCTCAGACGTCTCAATGATGATGAAAATCTTACCTTTCCAGCTAAAAAAGACAAGTCCTCTCCTCCGAGGATGTGAAGATCCTCTGTTGACTCGTCATTCTGTGGACATAAAATACAGGAGAAATTGTTTTTTTCAATTATCCATTCATCTGTCTATAAGAGATATGATCTCTCAAGAATGCACTGAGTCTATCCTGGAGCTTCATCTCATTTGGACATGCCTGAAAAAACACCTCACCCCGGAGGCATGCAAGTCCAATGCCCGACCCAGCTCAACTTGTTTAATGAGGTATACCTGTTCAATTCCTCATTAACTCAGATATAATCAGCTAATCACATGACAGCAACTCAAAGCTTTTATGTATGTAGACATGGTTAAAATGACCTGCTGAAGTTCAAATCGAGTTTCAGAATAAGGATAAAAGAGGAATTAAGTGACTCTGAGCATAGCTTGGCTGTTACTGTGCCATATTTCAGAAACTGCTGATCTACTTGGATTTTCCCACAGAACCATCTCTAGGGTTCATAGAGAATTGTCCAAAAAAGAGAAAATATTCAGTAAGTGCCAGTTCTCCGCGTGAAGATGCGTTGTTGACGCCAGAGGTCAGAGGAGAGACTTCATTGATCTGATAGAAAGGCAACAGTAACTCAGATATATCTGTATGCATATCACATTGAACCCTGGAGCAGATTGGCTGTCGCAGCAGAAGACCACACCGGCTGCCCCCTTCGTCATCTAAGAACAGGGAATAATTCTCAGTTGAACAATTTGTTAAATCTGTGCCACAAAGAAGTTTAACCCTGTGTAGCTTGAAGGTGTACCCAATAAAGTGGCCAGTGAGGGTATCTCACCAGCAGTACTTCACAGCTAAAAAAAATTGTCAGCAATCACATCAAATCATAACAGCACTTTCAAGGCAAAGTTAGAGGAAGGTACCAATGTTCTAATGCATGAAAAATAATACACATCTTGTGACTAACTCTAAACTCACAGGTGATACCTTTGAACGTGAAAATGCTTTCCACTTCTCACACAAATGCCACTCAAGATAAACTGTCAGCTTTCTTTGCTGGAGTGGGCAACAGCTCACCAAGTAACTCTTGAGACGGATGAAGTGTACCGTCATGGGGATTGTGCGGTTGGAGTTGTGGCTAAGGTCCTTGATCCTGTCCACCAGGTCGGCACAAAACTGGTAACCTCCTTTCAGCACGCACAGGACCACAATGGCGTGGTTCCCCAGGTCATCCATGATGTTTCTAGCGAGACGTTCTGTTCTGTGTACAATGAAGAAAAGGTGAATTACCTCTAAAAGACCTCTGTTCTCGTCAATTAAGATGGTTTTGAAACCCCTGTCGGTCCACAACCACATGTGATGTTTACATTTGTTAAACTTTGTGTTCCTATTTCACCATAATGAATAATTCTGGTTAAATATGCAAAGACAGGTGAACTGATTGATTAACCATTTACTACATTTAAGTAAATGTTTTAAATATTTTATAAGAAAGAAAAACAGACGGCTCACATGTGATTTAAACTGACTGGTACTCGCAAAGCACTTTTTGACACTAATTGAGCACCTAAAACGCTTATTCAGCCAGTCGCACACACATTCCTACTGCACTTTTTATTCTATGCCTAAGCAACTTGTTTAAACCTCTGACCACAACTATACATAGTAGTACATGCCCATGCTTCAATACTGTTCAGCCTGCTCATGCTGTTTGATATGAAATGATAATCATAAGGTGTTCTACGTGCGTAAATTCTAAAAATGGTTGATCTGAGCCCATTGCTAGGTGGTTGCCAGAGAACATCTTTTGTAGATATAAATTATAACTACTGTTATTACATAAAACTGACATAGTTCTGTTATTAAATAAAAGTGCACGAGTATTGTACCTTTGTTAGACGATTGCTGGGAAACATCATGATGTCATGATATCGGTAATAGATTAAAAACTTCAAACACATAAAATGTACCTGTGTGCCAAGTTTGGTTATTCGGCTCCTGATCGTGTGGCAGGTAGCAGAAACATAAACAAACCCACAGACAGAGCTTTTGTGTTTTACAGTAAGATAAAACGCTTTGTGTCACGTGACAAAAACACCAATTATTTAATTAAAAATTCATTTTCTGATTTCTTTTATAGACATACAGAAGTTAATAAGTACTATTTAAAACAAAGTATGATTGAACTCCTGCTGGCTTTTCTCTTTTTACCAAAAAAGTATGAATACACGCGGGGAGTTACTGTGGGATTTGAGCTTTCATTGGGGAGCTGTGGTTTTTTCTTTGTTTTGTTTGTTTCTTTGGGGAATTTCTAAGCTTTACCAGGATTCATTTCAATAAAAGCATGCCAAAACTTCCGTCAAGTTCATATCGCATAATCTGTGCATGATATCCCCTGGATTTCCCCAGAAACTGTACAAAGGCTTTTATGCAGCCCCCGTGCAAAAGCATATGGGAACATTACTTCCTTTATGCACGATTTTATCAAAGAACAAAGAAAGCGACTTCCCAGTTGTAGCCATGTACCTGTCCATAATCACGCCATGCGGGATGATGACACAGTCTAAATCTCCGGAGTAGTGTGCTGGATAGCTGAAGAGATCTAAACTGTAGCCTGGCCAGTCATCTTTAATCTGCAGGGGGGGGAGATAAACGCAAACATCATGTTTCTGCAGTACTACAAGGAGAAAAACAGCGGGTACGAGTTTTATCTTGCGTGCACCAGAAGCACATGTGACTTTAAGCAATTTGCAAGGCGCGCAAAGTTGTCTCCCTGCGCAAATTGTGCATCCATACACGAGCGACGCTTTTCTTCGACACTTGTCCCTTCCCCGTCTGCCCCCTAATTTAATTACCACAATCCCCTCGCTTCTTCCTTCGGACTGGACGGCAAATTCTGCCATGTTGTTTTTCCACCGCCACAAAAGGAGCTTTTGTCTCAGGAAAGTTGATAGAGGGAGTTGGCACCAACAGGAGAGAGGAGGAGCATGGGGGTGAAGGAATGTTAGGAAACCGAACACTTTGCTTTTCTCGCTGTCAAACAGCAACCATCCAGCAGGGGCGCTCTAACATTAGATTTACATGTACTGCTGCTTTTCATGGGGCCCCACCTTTCTGTGTGTACCTGTTCAAAGGCTAGTAATGAAGTGATCACTTTGTTGGAGAGAATACCCAAAACTAACAGTATACTACAGCATACAATCATGAGGAAAATCATGCAACAAATATATATATATATATACCTATTTTTTACAAAAGCACGGCCCATCATAAG